TGGAGTGGTTTTTCGTTTCGATTTTTTTTTTTTTTTTTTCTTATTTGGTTTCTACACCCTTGGAAATAATACTTTGTGTTGACAATTTTCAACAAAATCTAGGAAAGCCATTAAAGAATGACGACTCCACTCCGAGATGAGAAAATAGTTGTAGGACTTGAATAATTAACTGAATAATCAAAAAAAAAAAAAAAAATCATTTGATATTAACCTCAATCAAAGCTGAACATCTGAATGAAATGGTTTCAGCAAATCCATTTCTACAGTTGGCCAAACAAAGAATGGATTTGAATTGTATGTAGTTTGCGGTCAACCCATTCTTACGTCCATTGCCGAAAAATTGTATTTGCAGTGACAGTTGTTCTTTGTCGTCTGCTTTCTAGCCCCCCCCCAAAAGGTTGTGAGTGCTATCAAAGATTTTAAATTAAATTCTAAAACTCGTGAAATGAAAAACAAAAGTAAAAATGGACATTCATTCATAAAATCAAAGATAGAACTGAAAAAAAAAAAAATCGGTGCTTTTTTTGTTTTCAATAAAAAATAAAAAAAAAAATTGAAAAATACTCTTGACAATTTATGGGTTTGTTTTTCTTTTTGCATTTGTAAGAAGCCACGTAACTCGTGCATGTTATATTAATTTTTGGGTTTTTTTATGTGAAAAATTCTGTTTTATTTGGGTTAACGTTTTTTTAATTAATGAATGACGAGTTCAATTTTATTTACAACGCTCATAAATGTCAAAAATAAAGATGCATACTACAACACTAACACAAATCTGTGGCCACTCCCGAAGCAAGCAAACCTGATAATAGGCACAGGTCAGATGAAAAATGTAGACATTATTTTGAAACTGCTTTTTTGCAAACAGCTAAATCTTTAAAATATTAAGATCATCTTTAACTTTTTTTTTTTTTTTTTTTTACAATATCAGTATTCTTTGCTAAATGTGTTCCCTCGCCCTTTGCCTCAGCTAGGGAGAGTAGACTTCTTCAAAATTTTAGGCCATGCCAATTGGTCAACCGGACTGCAACCATTTGGTTTGGGCCTAAAAATGAACATTTTTGCTACTAGTGTAGCTTTTTTCTTTTTAAATGAAAAAAAAAACAAAAAAAAAACAAAGAATATTAACACTGATTTTTAGTTATGGAGAAAATTGGGAGATTGACGTTCAAATTTGATGTCTTAAAATATAACGTCATGAATTGTTTTTAAACTAATCATTTTGTATTTGCCATTTAGCTTTTTACCTAAACTCATCGCTAAAAGACGATTCCTGGTTTCTCTTAAAAATGATGTTATCTGATCTTTGGCTCTTGTGTTAAAGGTCCTAAAGGAGAATCTAACAAATTTCGATTAATTTGCTTCAGCCCGTCAGGACAAAGAAATGTTTTTAACCCTTCGTGAAAAAAACTCCTAAAATTAACTGCTTTACGTCTTTATATACGCACTTGAACATTTATCATTTACACACAGACAGATGCATGTGTAAAAAAACAAGCATTTAAAAAAACATTGAACCAATTTTATTCATGAGAAAAGACAATGACTTTCATATAAAAAGAAACTTTAGTGCACAATCTAAAATACAACGTCGCAATAAATACGAGACAGACGAGGCAACACGCAATTACATTTAAACAGATGTTTAAAATTACAGTTTTGCAAGGACGAATAGAGTAAATGTAGGGGAAAGATGGTCAATTTTTAGGTTTAATTGTTTCAGTGCTTTCTCCAGTCAAATCAACCTATCACCGTCACGGATGGAATTAACTAACAGTTTGTAACATTAAAAAATTCTTTGAGTTGCTGAAAATGACCAATGGTTAAAGAATAACAATTTCCTTTCATATTTATTTTTTAACATTTTCACTTATAGACAAGTCTTTTTTTGTCATACGAAAATTTTACTGTCAGTTATGGCCAACAGCATCAAATGTCGATACGTGCCATTTTTTTACCAAATAACATCTTTCTCCATTTAAAAATTAAAAGGATATTGGTTATCTGGCAAACTAACGACATTTCTAAGGATTAATTCATTTGCAATAAATAATATTTAAATGAGTTTAGGCAAAATTCCTCCTAGAATCTTGCATTAATTATAGAAGATTAATTATATTTTAAAACTCTTTTCAGCGCAAACCGAGATAATTAAAATAATTATGTGACTAAACTTTTTGGCACAATGTCATGAAGAACAAATTCACGACCAATGCGACAGAAGATAATTTTTTGCTTTTGTGTATACGTGATTAATCTATGGAAAATTTGAGAGCTGATTCAGAAAATGCCAATGAACAAAAATTGAGTAATGGCTAAAGAAGTCGAGTCATAATTCCAAAAACACCCAAAATAAGATATTCTTTATGGAAAGACCCAAAATAAAATTTTAAAAATAGCCTACAAATAATGCCAATATTTCTCCCAACCTCTTGATGTAACCTCTAATAATTTTGAATTTTCTCTTTTCACATCAACTGTCACGATAGCTGACTTATATGTCGTAAAACAGATAGAAATTCGCGATGAAAACTGGCATCAGTCAATAAATTCTTCGAGCTGAAAAGTTCACACCAAAAAAAAAAAAAACAGACTGCTCCCTACTTCACATCTGATATCCAGAACAATTTCAAAAAGACAATGAAATCAACCGGATATTTTACTCTAATATGATCGATAAGAATTATTGTAGAACACGGATTTGGTATTCTTCCAAAAAACAAGCTACGACCCATCGAAATTTAATGACAGAATCGTGCTCAATATCAATTGACGATAAAAACTTAACAATATTTGGCTTCTGACATGCCATTTATTAGCCCTTCATTTTTTTAATAGTCACATTAAAGAAAATGAAGGCTTAATAAATGGTAGAAATAAAAATTTTAAAAATTAAATTAAAAACTTGTATTTTTATGTTTCTTCGTTGCATGTTTGTGCTAAGAGTATTTGATTTTGAACTGTTCATTTCTTTTTACAAATTAAACCAAGTTCATTTTGTTTTCATTATACAACAGGTCGTTCAGCTAGAACATGGTAGTACCAGGGACAGGGGTCTTCATACCCCTACCATACTTTTACTGAAACCGAGAATTAAAAACTAAATTTGTCTTAGTATTCTATGACTATGCTATTGAACAGACGAGCTCTATCATTTGTCCAAAATCTACCATTAATTTTCAAAATAAGTAATTTAATTCAATAAATAATTTAATTAATAATTCATTTTCAAAATAGGACTATTTTCCTTTTTTTTTTCTTGAAACATTAGCTTCTAAAATTTTATACCAGTATTATATGGGAAAAATGTTTATGATAATAAATCTTATACCCCGCCCCGCTTTACAATCTGATTTGTTTTTATGTTGTGGTACTGTTAAGATTAATAGGTTAGAAAAAGAAAAAAAAGAAAGCGATGTTTGTAGACATGACTGTTTTTCCAGTATTCAAGTAATTGAATTTTTACTCATTTTTAAATAATTTATTTATCAGTAATGTCTCCTATTGTTCGTCGATTGTCCATTGTTACCTTCCGATTTGGCCAGTTGATTATTTTAAGATCAACTAAGTCCTTATACAACATATTTGCATGTTAGAAACAGTAAATATAGCGAATCAATGTTTTGAATTCAAAACATTTTCATTTGAAATTTTTAATTAAAAGTTCAAATCGTGTCTTGCTCACCTGTCCTGCCACAAAATAAACATCAGTCTGGGAATGAAACTGACGTCGAGGTTGAACTTGAAACTTATACTTTTGTTTGAATGACGTTATTTTACGGATTCCTCGCCGCTACAAATGATGAAAATGAAATTTAGTTGCGGAGAAGTGTGTGTGCGTGCGTGTGTGTGTGTGTGTGTGTGTGTGTGTGTGTGTAGGAAGCACGAGAGGACATATAGCTCATTTTTTTCGATTCCCATCGATCAAATAAATATTGTAAAGTTAACAAATTTTTCATAAAATCAACAAATTTTAATTGAATCAGCCTAGCAGTGTGCGTATTTGAATTGAACTTTCAATCACAGCATTGAACAACGATGGCAGACAATTGAAAACCATCATTACAATAAAAATGTTGGTATATGAATGATGAAAATCGCAAAAGAGTTTAAATCCTCGGGAATATTCATATTATTAACCCTGACATATATCGAATTGTAGATGGATGTCTTCGATTCTGGTACAGGTAATATTAATAATGATTGCTTTATGCCCACACTTTTCAATCGACAAACTTTCTGATCAAATCACTTGAAGGAAGCTCCATTTGACTTAAATTCTCTACAGTAAATGATTTCTTATTCAGCAGGAGTATAAAAAAAAAATATTTAAATAATTGTTTTCTCATGTTTTGCTTTACAAAATAACTTCATTTCTATTACAAATCGTGTATTTTTGCAATGCCATCTTCCGCTGAAGGCAGTCAGTGCAAACACACTGGATGAAATAAAAGATTAAATCACACTTTAATGATAATTGAAGGCGGCAGACGTACAAAGTCTACAAAACCGTTAGTCTGTAAAAATCGTTGGTTATACTTGCACCTCGGACTATTGTTTTTTGGGGTTTTTTTTTATTTAGTAGTCCAGTAGTCTTTGGAAACTTTGAGAATTTAGATATTTCAGAGAAAATAAGTTATTTGCAACGTTTATTCTTTGTACAAAATAAAGTAAAATAATTCATTTCATCACTTTGTTGAAAAAGGTAATTTCTCTGCAATATCTCAAATAAAGTCTCGAACTTTTCACGGATTACTGGATATATAATATTCAATGCATTTAAAAAATTTCAGTTATTCCAATAGAGAGAATGACGAAAATTACGGTCAAGACCGTCATATCATGCCATCAAAGCCTGACTAGAAAGGTGGTCGATCGAAAATGAGAACATTAGTCTAAAAGAAATTGCTTGATTTTATTTTTAAATGATCGTTATTTTTTTTTTTTTTTTTTTTTTTTTATTCTTTACCGTTTATTCTATTTTGGCTAAAAGGTAAATGTCACGTGATTCTAGCCAACATCGACATCTGGATGTTTTTGTTGGTCACAATTTTTTTGTTTTTGTTGTTGGTTTTAGGGCTGTTGTTCATTGCGGCTGGGTTTTTGTAGATTCTCAATGGCATGTCAGCATCGGGGACCAACCGATATTGATGTCGGGCAGCGGCAGCTGCAGGCGACATAACTATGGGGGAGCTTCCATTGCTGCGAGTCAAGTCACTCGACCTTTGCCCTCCACAGTTTGGGTTGCTACTCAAGCTACTACTACTGTTTCTACGATTACTGCCGTTTTTGGCTGGAGACATGAACCCTTTATGGACCTTTGGAAAGCTACTCAGCATTGGAATGAGCCTGTAGCCGTGCTTTGGTAGATGGGATTTCAATTTTGACGAATTGACTTTGTGGTGCGGGCTTTCTGGATCAGCGTCGCAATCGTTGAGAGCAATAGCTGAACTAAATCGCTGCAAATCTGAAATAAGCAAAACAAGACATTTAAAATGAAAATGTTATTATAGTATAGACCACAAGATAAAGAACGGCTAAGAAGGGTCATTAAATGTGGCGTATGTGGAGAGGTATTCCAGATTGTCTTTTCCTAACATCCGGTAGGTAGTGCTGTAGACTTAATAGAGGAGTCTCTTCAAGAACAAGATGTGTCTTGAGCCTCTCGGGGGGTTTGACTTAGTACCCCAGGTGAACCACGTACTGCATACAATACTATTTCTTGTTTGAGAAATAAAAAAGAGACACGTACATACTCAATAACTCCACTACAACCTATCACATAAATAGGTCTCTCCCCAACACAAAAAAATATCCTAGTTTAACAAGAGAGACAAGACCGCGACAAACTGATGATTCTCGTAGAAAACTGTTAAGTTCTGAACCTTCACAAGTTATCCCAAAAAATATTGTCAGTCAGCTTCTCATTCATAGTAAAAGTTTGGTAGTTTGATAAAATGGAATTTTATTTTTTTTCTCAGTAAAATATATATATATATATATATATATATATATATATATATATATATATATATATATATATATATATGTGTGTGTGTGTGTGTGTGTGTGTGTTAAAAGTGACGAAGCATATTAAAAGGAACCTTTTAAGACGCTTATTGTCTCAAGAAAATCTTTCTAGATGAATAATGAATTTTTACAATTGTTTATTTTTTTTATTATAATAATTCATGAAGTTTTACATCTTTTAAAATATTGTATTAATTTCAGCTTTTTAGATATTATGAGAAAAACTATCTTTACTAATCATAACTGGAAAAGCTTAATGCAAATCACGCACCAATATTTTTTTTTAAATTTTTAATTTATTTTTGTGCATTTAAACATGCCCATTTTTGTATTTTCTGATAATGTCGTGTATTACCATACACGACATTATCACAAAATAAGAGCGATGACTATAATAAATTTAATATTTATTTTTTCTTAAATTATGTTTTACAGATAAAGTCTCCGTAGAACAACATTAAACTTGTCATCACATGAAAAAATGCTACTGTCGGGCTTTAAAAAAAAAAAAAAAAAAAAAAAGGGTTTCTGCAGTATTTTAAATAAATTTAAGTAAATAATATTTGTTTCAAATCAGATTAATTATACTTTAAATCAGTTAATATTCCTTAAATGAAGTTTCAAAAAAGTATATTCCATTTTTGCAAGATTTTTAAAACTGAGAACTACAAATATCTAAAGAAAAAATTTTTCTGTTACTGAAAAAAAAAAAAAAAAAACAACTAAAAAACAAGTAAACAAAACACATGAAAATCGATTGCAATCAATATAATTTCTGTTTGAAATACTTCAGAATATTTTGCTTATTGGAAACAGTAAATTTAATCCTTTATCTTCCAACTAAAAGTGAAAGCTTAAAGAAAGCTTTTTCATTTTATTAAAATTATTTCGATTTTTGTGGAGGTAAATGTTAATTTTTCATTTTTTTTTAATCAGATATCTCCAAACTTTCTCAGCCTGTAGGTTTCGATTAGAACTTCTTATATTCATATATGAAGCAATTATAGCATTCTAAATTACTTGTTAAAATCCAATTCTCTAATGTAGGATGGTAAAAAAAATAGACGAACACGAACACACAGATTTGCTTTCAACAAGGGAAGAATTAAGTAAACATACGAAGATTAAAACAAGATGCCTATAAATTTGATACTTATAAAACAATCGAACATAAAATCGTAACCATTTACATATACAGTTAATTATAACACAGAATTAGAATATACAATGAACATCAAGCTCGATATCCATTATGATTCATTAATTGAAAAATCCATCCAGTCTGTGCGGATCTATTACGCACGAATATACATACATACAAAAATACAAATCACATACAACGCCAAGCATTCATTGGTTGATAAATCATTACTACATTACTACAGGCAATTTACAAATCGCAGTAATGCGACAATTTTGTAATCGCTCTATTTTTAAGTAGTCAATTTTGTGCACTTTTGGGAGAAGCGGATCACAGAAGCTTTAAGTTTCCCCAAAGCTCGCTCGCTGATTGGTCGATGCCAACCAATCAGATCGTTTGCAGGTGAAGAATAATTCTTCCCGCGCAACGATTTGGAGCCTATAGTCGCTTATTTAAGCCAAGATTTTCTAATCCCAACTAGTGAGAATTCAGCTGCCAAACGAATCCACGACAGTTGAAATCATGCGCCAACTTACACACTCACATGCTGAACATACATACATACCTTGTACACACTCACATAAACTCTTCTTAGAGAGCAATATCTTTCAAGAACAATCATTACATTCTTCCAGTGAATTTTGGAACACTAAAATAACAGCTAAAGAGAGACAACTCTTTGTTAATTCAACCTTTTCTTAAATGTATGTTTTCCTTCACATCGTTTTTTGATATTGTACATCTTGTTAAATACATATTTTATGTGTAACAATATATTTTGGTTATCCTTTTCTGCGTGGGCTTTTTATTTCCTAATCTAAATTTAATGTAGTGAAGTCCGCCCCAAATCTGTCGTTGAAACGAGTGATTTCTCAATGTTTAGATTTACCTAAAAACTTAAAACTACGAATTCGACTTTTTTTTACAATTTTTGTCTCTACGTAACATTGGAAGAATCAAGTTTATATACTGAGATTAGCATCCCAAGTCGGTTATGATATCTGCAAGAAGAGAATCCTTTCGAATTTATTCCCATAGCCGTTTTGCTACTTTCATTTTTATTTGCGATGATTACAGCAACAAGGGATTTGTTGCTTGGACCAATCTCGCTAGTTCAGTCTGGGCCCAATGCTCAGTTAGAAAAAATAAAAATGAAAATTCAAAACGTATAAACCATAGATTGGAAGCCACAAAATCAGGTAAAAAATTATGAATTATTATTTCAAACATTACAATCAACACAGGATGAAATTCATTTGCAAATCAGGAAATTGTTTTATGTAGAGATGATTACTTTCGATGACTATTCAATGTTCATTCATTCAATTCATTCATACATTGAGGAGATGGAACAAAAAAAAAAAAAAAAAAAAAAAAATGGAATGGATAACAATCAGCGAATGTCATTTGGCCTAAAAGTGTTTTCATCGAAAGAGTTAAAAATGGAATCGTCACTTCGTCGAATGGCTAATTTCACCGAAATATCAGAATTGTGCTTTTATGTATCACTTTAAAAATTACATAAGTTATTGTTGCTTCTATACAATAATGAATGACAACAATTGTTTTTCGTTTTTTTTTTTTTTTGGTTTTTTTTAAGATTATTTAATGATGACATAAGACAGGAAATTATGTGTCCTTTTTGTCGGGCAACGAAAATAAGAAAGGAAAGTATAAATATTAAATACATAAAAAAAAGACTAATATGAATAATACGAAATTTTAGAATAATTTTTATGTAATTTTTGCTTGTCAGAATAAATAAAGTGTTTGTTTTTCACCAGTTTTAAATTTTCCTACAATAAATCCAAAATATTAACATTTTGTGAATGAAGAATTTAATGATGAATTTGTGGAGAAAAAAGGATTCATTACCGTAAATAAACATCAAATTATATTATTATTTAACGGGTGTAATTTTTAAATGATATTTAAAACAAAAAAAAAAAAAAAAAAGCGCCAGATATAGAAGTTATCTCCCTTTAATTTTCTATGTTTTGATTTTTCGGCCAAGTAATCGGAGAGCCGAGTTCGAATTCCAGTCAAATCCATTACATTCACTTACGTGCTAAATACCCTTGGGAAAGGGTGTGAATCCTGTTCTTCTCACCCCCATCAGTTATGGGTAAATAGCAGGACAGACCGGATTCTAAAGCCTTGGATAGCAACTGGTTTACCGCAGAAAGAAATGGCAACCTACTGCAGGAAAAAATCTGCCTCGTCAATCATGTAACGAAAGATACATGATCGCCTAAACGTGTATCATGCATGGTACATAACTGACCGACTGAAACCATTCGACAAAATAGATTCGATTTAACGCTTTTGGAAGCCAATATTCAGACAATTACAAGTAGGCACCTCCACTATTTCGGCATAAATTTTCGATATCTAAAGTTCAAAATGAAAAAAATATTCTTGAAGATTTCATTTTAGCTTTAATTGAAAGCTAAACGATTAAATTTATGATTTCTAGTAAGTAAAATATTTTGGTGTATTTCAGATAGAAATTGCATAGATTGAAATGTCAAATTTAATTTCGATTTCTTAAAATTTTCTTAAAAGCGGCCATTTTCTTAATTTTAAGAAATTTGTAAAAATATTTATCTATATATATATATATATATATATATATATATATATATATATATATATATTTTACACGTTATTTAAGTAAAATTAGAAAATTTAAAGTTAAATTACTGATTTGAAATAAATATTACTTATAGCATAAAAAGTAATATACAACCATTTATTTAATGATTGGTCCTGCTTAAGCGATAATGGATGGCAGATGAGTGACGAAGCGATGACACTATGGCTGGCTAGAATTGACATCTAAGAAATCTAAGTGAATGAATTTTCAGTAATTTTTACAAATGAACATATTTTCCACAATTATCTAATAATTTGACTTATTACCTTTCAAAGATGATTTATGCAAAATTAAAAAAATTTTCTTAAATTAATTTCTCTATAAAGAGACAAAACTTAGATCACGTGACCGTTTTATAATAATGTCACGTTTAGACTTTCATAGATGAAAATAGGGAACAAATTAAGTAAAAACATAAGAAATAATATTTTAAAAATAGAATCGTGTAACTACGTTTATTAATCTTTTCGATTTTGAATACGTAAATTCCGTTTCCACTTAATTACTATATCACATTCAGGATTTTACACGATTTTAAACTATTATAAATTAAAAAAAAAAATTCTTGAAAACATTCATTATTCATCGGAAAAAGAAAAATTTTATTTCTTCAGACAACAATGTCCTTAATATAACTTATTTACAAAAGCAATTAAAAGCTTTTCTAATTAAATAATTAGATAATTTTATTGCAGTCATTATTTTTCAATTCAGAGCAGATTTTCAGTTAGAAAAGTGCAAATTTGAAAAAAAAGATTAGGTGATTTAGATTCTCCGAGGAGTCCTACTTTTAACGAATAAAAAAATTCAAGAAATAGAAAGTTATTTGCGAAATTTCATGAATTTCGTAAGGGGGGGGGGGGGGGTAATATACGTAAAACAAAAAAATTTTACACAAAATTTTCTTAAGAAAAAAAATTATAAAATAATTTAATTCATTTGTGAATAAGTCCTGAAAATTTCATTAAAATCGGACAATTATTTGATTTTTTATAAGAATTTCCAAATCAATGGAAAAAAAGCGCAAAAAGTCGATGTTATTATTATGCCACCCCGATGATGTAAACAAAACAAAATTTTAACTAAAATTTCTAGCGTTTTAGAAAGGATTAAAAAAACTTCAAAAAATTTATACTTTCATCTTAATAATAAACATTTTAACGATAATATATTATTTTTACGTTTGTCGTTATTTTCATTACGCTATGCTGCTTTCCTGCAAAAAAGTGGAGGTACCTAGACAAATGTTATGAACTGAACCCAAATGGAACATCCCTTACCAGTTTTGTGATAATCTCCTTGCAACTTTCGACGTCGACACTGCAACACAATCAGTGCAACAAGCAGACTGCAGAAAAGCAAACTACCGACTGTTAGTCCAATAATCAAGGCTATGGGCACGTCATGAGAAACACTGTCTGGAAATGAAGAATCTGGAATGATGAAAAATATTCGCATTCTTAACGTTTTATTCTTCAGATATAAAATATCAAGAAACAATGTTAAAAAAAAAAATTATTAAGCAACATTTAGTGTGTATGTCACCTTATATTTAGAATGCAAATTAAATTTTGCTATTTCGTTTGACAAAACAAGAAATCCTAGCAATAGAAACTTGTACTTCTAAAAGTAGACCAACTGTTGTATATCCCTAATTGTGGGGAGGGTGTTTGGTCTCATCTCGTCTGGCCGGTGATCGCTGGTCGTTTTAATTCAATCCTCTTCTCTAGGTGGCGCGAAATGTTCTTTGTGTTCAGAGATGAAAAGCATCAAAGAGAACTTTTAACTATTATTTTATAGGTCCACAGGTACATCTTCATTCAAGTGGGAGTTACTACACCTCTATTAGGGATCCGCTTCCAAACACGAAAATATCACACGTTCATTTCCTTTGACGTAACAACCAACTCTCTAAAGACCCTTTCCCGCGGGGGGGGGGGTGCACAAAGACAATCTACACGTCTAGCTAGCTTGACGTTCAAACTGTCGTAAATCCTTAATCTATGACTCCTTTCCACGTTCGGCTCAGTCAATCAAAATCCCTGTATTTTGGCTCAAACCTTCTGAAGCTGACTAAGGTCAGATGATAGACATTTTGTCTATCATCTGACCTTAAAGTCAGCCTCAGAAGGTCTGAGCCAAAATACACTGCCACTAAAAAAATAATAATATGAAAGTATTATTTAACATTCCTTACCTAACCATAAAAAAAAATCATTTATGAATTTTATTTCAACTACATTATATTTATCACAACAAATGCTGCAAATATGTGAAGTTATAATAAAAAAAAAAAAAAAAAAAAAACACAATTTAAAATTCTATGTTAATAGTTTCTTTTCTCGCTTGTGGAACTCCCTTCTGGCTCCACACTTTCCAGTCAACTTTAATCTGCAAAAATTTAAATGTAATGTCAATCACTATCTACTGTCTTCCTGATTACTCTTTCCACTCATTATTAATGTTTCTGTTCCTAATTCTTCCACGCCCAGTAACCCCCCTTGTGTCTTAATGTCTTTAGTGTCTCGCATGGGGTGATACTGATTTTTTAAAAATTAAGGATTGAATATTGTTTTGGGATAACTTGGTCCAGGCATGGAAACAAAAAGAATACGTATACTTGGAATTAAAAAAAAGAAAAAAAATGACAGTTGAAATTTCTATGGCACATAATGAGGAAAGAAGGGTTAGAAAATTTGACACTCACGGGACATACTGAAGACAAGAATAACATATCTAAGGATGGCAGAACAGGAAATGGGATGGATAATAAGGCGAAAGTTGTTAAGAGCTACAAAGGATAGGAAGTTGTGAAGAGCTATGGTCGCCCACGTCCTGAAGAAAAATAATTTAGAACCGGTTTGTAAAGAAATTAGAGCGAAAGCAAAAACAGCTATTCCTCTTAGTTCAGAAATTCTTTGCAAAAATTCAAATTTATTTAGCCATATAATTTTAGAGAATTTTAAGTATGTTTTAGCTTTTTGGACGCAAATGAAATCAGGTGAACATTACGTGCTAATATCCTTGGGAAAGGTATGAATCATCTTCTCCCCCCAGCTATGGGTAAATAGCAGGACAAACCGAGTTCTTGGATGGCAAGTAGTCTACCGCAGAAAGAAATGGCAACCTACTGCGGGGGAAAAAATCTTCCTCATCAGTCATGTATTGAAAGATACATGATCGCCTAATCGTGTATCACGCATGGCACATAACTGACTGAACATTTGAAATGAGCAGAAAAAGAAAGTAAATGATTCTCTCTCTTCTTATTGATGACGGTGTTAAGATTAATAATTCCCCACAAACACACAAATTATTAGTAAGTCACTTTCTGGCAGAACAGTTTTTTTTTTACACTTTCATTGTAAAAAGTACCCCCCCGCCAACTTTGTGTCACAATTATCAAAAATATAAAAATTAAGGGCTCATTTATTTTTTCTCAACAATAATTCTGATATTCTTTTTATAACATCTCAAGTAGAACATCAATTTTAATATTTGCTAATCGTGAACACGCACAAATTTTTTTCTATGACTAAAAAAATATTAAGTGTAACAGTCTTGGTATCAGGAACCACGTTATGGTAAAGCCCGATAAAGTTCTTTATGATTTACACATTTCTATATTTCTCAAAAGTTACAATAGAAATATTTTAACATTAAAATGCTAAATATGCAAATGACAATCATTACAATACTTCACTGTTATACCGAAAAAAATGCTTAAATGTAGAATATTAAGTGAATTTTGGGGATATTTTTAAAACGAAGAGTACAGTATTCTATGATTTTAAAAACTGCTGTTTAATGTTTAATTTCTCTCCAACTTTTAATTTTTGCATGGCTTGATGAAAAAACTTATTCAATTGAGAAAGAATCAGAATGAGATTGTCGAAAGACAAATTTAAAATAGTTGAGAACCAAAGATAACGCTATATATAAAGAGCAGTAAATTCTAACATGGAAGCAGAGGTGGCAGGAGATAAGAATGAGATGTGTTAGCTGTAGGAATTAAAAACTGAAGAAAGCAGACGATTAAAAAAAAAAAAGTCAGATGAAAAGTACAGAACGGTGATTACAGAGTTTGAATGTTTGATTATTAGGTTTCCGGTATTCAAATTTATTCTTGCCGCCATTGATTAAATAATGATTATTTTCCGCTGTGTAAAACATTCGGTTCATGGATGGTCGACTTTTAATTGGTAGAAAAATTCTTTTTCAGTTCCGCTTACCGATTTGCCAAAAATGTATTGCAGAATTCGAAAGTAAAATAAACAATGTTGAACGAAGTCAAGGTCATTCAGGTGTTCCGTTACTATACGTGTGGTGGCTAATTTAACTATTAAGTTCCTCCTGCCAGTGCATATCTATAATTGCATCAGATGAAACTGAAATATTTGGTTTGGTTTCATATCAAATGCCATATTTAATGGCAATAAGATTTTTCTGATAAGTTCATATGTACACAGTATATCTTCTTTAAGAAATCATTTTGTAGATCAGTTTTCATTGACACATTTTATAAACAGGGATTTTGTCGAGAGTATTGCTGGTAATCGTTTTCTTCAAAAATAGGTTAAGCAAGCAGATTTAGTAAAGTGTTTTTTTTTGTTTATATATATAATATATATTTTCCTGTAGAGCTCAATTTCTTTAATGAAATTTATGATGTTACTTGGATTGATATTTTCAAATAGATCCTTTAAGTTATCCAATTTGTAGAGTTTGATTTGGGTTTGCTGAAAGTTATGGCAATTTAGTAGAATATATTTGACTATATATGGTTCTTGGCATGGGACATATATCGGTGGTTCCTCATTTTTAGTAAATGCTGGTGGGTTATGTATGAGTGTCCAATACGGAGTCTGGCTGGAACCACCGCCTCTTTATTTTTCTGAAACTTGACAGTCTTTCACTGATGATTGGTTTGATGTTGAACAATTTATTGTTTACACAGTTGTAATATAATTGCTGCCATTTTTTTTAATGGTCCTGTTTATGCTGGGTTGGAAATCAGTGTATAGCAACATTACTTTAGAGGAGGGCCATATTCAGTGATTCATTTGCCATTTTGTCAGCTTTTCCATTTTCTTGTATGCCAATATGGTTCAGTATCCAGCATAGAACTACTACAGCACCTTTTTCCTTATAAATTGACTCACACCTATTTAATAATTTACTTAGTAAGGTTTAACAAAATCATAGGGTACTTCATTAACCTGGGTGGGTTTTTTGAAATGGGTGTTTTATGAAAGTGTTCAATTTATTTGTTTCGCTGATGAAATTTTTCTTATAATGTCCAAAAGGTTTGATAGCATTTTCTTTTTTGTCAAACAGAAATTTGTATTTAGGGTTGAAGGTACAGTGATAGGCAGAGTTATAGGCAGGATTTGAGTTTTAGATAATATTGTAATGCCAGTTTTTCACATCTCAATTTTTATGGTGCCTCATGAACTTCAGCATATAAATTTTCTATGGGTGAGGTTTTGAAGGCACCCAGAGCCAGTCTTAATCCTGTATGGTGTATGAGATCAAGGGATTTAGATAAGATTTCCGGGTCAAACCAAATATGAAACATCCGTAGTATAGTTTAGATCTTGTTAGAGCTCTATAGAAATTTTAATGCCTTGATTCAAACAATTAAAAATGTTAATTTTTATATTAAAAAGTCTGACGGACAAGATGCAACCTTGTGGATCTCATTCTTCTTGGATCTTTGAGTCTGAACTTTGAAACTTCTATTGGACAGAAAGTCATTTATCAAATTGGACAATCTATTGTTTAATCCAAGATTGTATAAGTCTTTCATTATTCTTTGTCTCCATATTGTCTCATAGGCCTTTTTCTAAATCAAAGAAAATGGCTACTGCGTGTTCTTTTTAAATAAAACTGAAAAGGCGGACTATGTCATCTATGGTGCCTCTTATTTCGGAATCCATTTTAGAGATTCGTAATTAAACCATTAGTTTCAAGGTACCAGTTCAATCTTTTATTTACTATTCTTTCTAGGGTTTTGCATATACAAATTGTTAATGTTATGGATCAGAAGTTTTGGTTTTCTGATTTGTCTTTATCTGGTTTTGGTAAAGGGCTTGTGGTAGCTTGTTTTCAGCTATTTGGTAGTTTTTCCTTAAACCATATCTTATTAAAGATATTTAACAGATATTTTGTTGATTTTCTTTTGGGGGCAGGAAGTTGTTTAAGAAATTCATCTGAGCCAGTAGCTGTAATATGTGATTCACTTATGGCATCAATAAGTTCATTCAGAGTAAAAGGATAATTGTATTCTTTGTTGTTTGAGTTAAAGCTCTGCTTATTTTCCCCCCCTCTGCATAATGCCTAATATTTTGGAACTGCTGTTTATAGTTTTCACTAGAGGAATTTCTTTTTAAAGGTTTCTGCAAGTAGATTTGTTATCTCCTTTTTTGCGATAGATAGATTTTCCTTATATTCCAAAC